TCATTCATCACTGTGACAGATTCATCATCTAAACTTGTTTGGAGTCAGCTACATGGACCTTTTCCATTTGTTTCCTCTGTGGAAATTTCTTCTAATAGATCATATCTTAAAAGTTTATCTGATGATTGTGACTACGAAAGTTGATGGGACCCTGGATCCAACCCTTAATACATCAATTTTCTGCAAGCACATAGATTCTCGTGATCTAGACTGTATAGCTCATCTTCATGAAGTCATGAACTACTTTCCATTGATTGCTTCCAAGGGCGGCAATTTCATCTAATAATCTATATATTTCATGTCTACTCAAAACTTATAAATTTATATTATAATTGGACCCCTCCATTATAATAATCTTTTTTTTTTCAGGGAAGTAGTTGTCAGTAATTGCCAAAGATATTGTCTTCAAAATCAATGCATTTTCTAGGCTTGTAGAGCCATGTTCATCCTAAGTTCACCTATATAACATTGTCTCTTTTAGGGCAACTGTCTTCCTCTCCCTATAATATAATGAGAATTATATCTCTCTCTCTCTGGTGTATCTTTTCATATCAACACCCATGAAGTTAAAAGTTTAATTATTTCAAAAAGTGATATCACAACTTCAATTATATTCTCCTTTGGCCCTACAACGCTGCCTAACAATCCTTAACCCATAAATTACATGGTAAGATTTCATTTTCTCACTTAATTTAATTTCATAAACCTACATTTTTTTAAATTCAGAGGTTGAAAACTTCTGATCGATGTTTGATGAATTGATAATAAAAAAATGTCTCAAGGTTAAATATTAGTAATTTTAATTTCTAGAAATGTAAATTTAAAAGTACCCCTTTCAAGGAAACAAAAACCCAGTATAAAATTAAATGAAAAAAAAAATGGAACTTAAAGGAAAAATAGATTTTCATTAATTAACATAAATTGAGACCCATTTTGGTAAACTAATCAAACTTTAGTTTTTCTAGATACAATTATAAATAGAATTACTAGAGAACATATATAAGTCAAACCATTGGACTAGAAAAGAACTAGACTTATCCTTTTTATCATTAAATGTAAAGATGAAAAGTGGGGTGGGCCGGTTGGTGGACCATATATAAGTTGGGTTATTATAACCTTCCAGTCAAAGTTATTATAAAACCCCCAACATGGGATAATGGATGGAACTGTCTTGTTTGAATATCCAACAGAAACAAGTGTTGCACAAGCTAGAGGCATGTGCCTATAGCGCTAGCCTTTTGTCTAAACCCAAGATATGAAATATGTAGTGAGAAGGAATAATAATGCTGAGTCTACTGACTCTACAGGTTAGAAGAGTTCACAAGTGTCCAGGTAAGCTCCATCTAACTACTAAAGCACCCTCTAGGCTCTACCATGTCCCAACCCTATTGAGTTTTAGAAAATATAATCTTATGGTCAAGATTTCAGCAACTATCCAATTATGATCAAATTTAAATTGTCTTGAAAATCTTTATGGAGGGACCATTCAGTCATGGACAACAAACACTGTTTGGGTCAATTAGTCATGGGTCCTTTGCACAATAAGCCTAATTCTATATATGAAAGAGCTTTTAAGGGGTTGGTCAGTTGGGAGTTGCATACTTGGATTGATGCATGCATCTCCATCAATTAGGTTGGATCATGCAGGGTGGGTCCCAACAAGTAGATACCCCTTGGATGGTGTTTGTGTGTGCATTGTGACATGCTGTCTAACCTTAGTATTCCACAAAATCAGGGGGAAACAGCAAGCCTTGAAGCCAAAAAATGGGATGGGACACAAACAATCAACCAAACCATTGTGGAACAACTCTCTTCTACTTGAAACGAAATTCTCTTGATGTTCTGGACTCCCTATAAGTATCCGTTTGGGAGGATTGAAGCCCAACGATTTCTGGCTTTTCAAGGTGGTTTCACTTGAACAATTTATATGTATATGGCAAAAATCCAAATAGCCCAAATTGGCTATCAGTCGGTTATTTGAAGGGCTATCCGCTTCAAAGCAGCTAAACCAGTTATGTTCAATCTTCAGTTCAGACCTCCTAAATGGGTTTGTAAGTGCCCATTTGGAATGACTGAACCCAGCAACTTCTGGTTTTTTAAGATAGGCCCCACATGGTGAAAAATCCCAAAAGACCAAATTGACAATCAATCGGTCATTTGAAGGGCTTTCCACTTCAACCTCTTTGACGATTCTAGAGAACTCCAAAGCAGATGAACCAGCTTTGCTGAATCTTTGGCTCAGCCTTCCCAAAGAGGCCCTAAAATAAAACTCTCTCCGGTTCAGCTGTAATTGTTAAGTTATTCAGAGCTTGCAAAGAAATCCCGGTTGCTCAGGAATAATGGGGCCAGAACAAGAAGCTGTTTGGAAAGGGACATTATCAAGGAACAGATGCTCTATTGGCTATTTGGCTCTACTTGTTCTCCACTTAGAAACAGCAGGAATCCATATTTAGCCCCTTTCTCAATCAGATTTTGTTTTATGCACAAAATATTCACACATAAAAACACCGCCCATTGATTGCTTTATCTTCTCTAGTTCTCTTCCACAAGTAGTCTTCGTATTTATTTTCCTGCTAAATGCAGCCAAGTCGGGTCAAACCCAACCTACCATCATCCTACTTGCAATGCAACAAGGGACCAATTAGCTAATCCACACCAAATCATCTAGAAGAATTTCTGCAGATCATGGTTTTAAGTTTTGATGAAATTCTGCAAATTTTCAACTGAATTTGATTTGGAGAAAATTTTGAAATTCTTTGCAGAATTTGGGATTTTGTTATCCAAAAATTTAGATTTTTATGTAAATTTTATAAAATAAATAATATAAATAAGGGTTTGATTAGAATATGGAGAAGAGATGATACCGAAAAAACTTATAACCAATCAATTAACATCATAAAGTAGTAACCAATCAGAAGGATTTTTATATTTTCAGTATCATGTCTTTTTGGCATCATAGATTTTTCATGTAATTATAGAAATAATTAAACAATATTAAAATATAAAACTCATGAAAAATAATTTTACTAGAATCGGGATCTTTTGAAATTTCTTCACTGGCATTGGGTCCGAAATGGACAAATTTATCAAATTTGTTAAGGAGCTGATCCAAATACATCACGTCACAGATCCAAATAATTATTGAACTAGCCAGAAAAACTTTAGCTGTTGGGGGCCAAGATCATAGGCTGTTGAGACAGTTTCTGGAAATGCCAGTTACCATAAGAATACGTAAATTAGTAATTACATCTTAATTTATTTTGACTAAATACCAAAGCATGGGCGTGAATTGGTGAACTGCCCAGAACATGTCCAGCCTAGAAACTGTCTTAAAAGCATATGCTATTGGGCCTCAACAGCCAAAGTTAACCCGTACTAGCCAGTCCATTTTCGGTTCCTAATCGATCAGATCAACTCTTGGGATTCATGTCGGTTGGTAGATTCTCTGACTTGTTGGAATAGAGACCTGGGATCAAATCCTGCTACCACCAAGGGTTGGGAGATTTAAGGGAAAGGGGATGGGCTGCCCCCTGTTGTGTAGCCCCATGAAGCGAAAAAAAAAAAACTCTTGGGATTCGTATCTAATCAGAAAAATTGATTGGATTCGAGTCAGATGAATCAGATCACAAAGGTAGTGTGCATGTATCATAACTCATAACAACTAGAAGTCTGATCTGTGTAGTTAAGCTCAAACTAATCCCCCGTTTGGATAATCTTTTACTTTTGAGCTTGGGGCTGGGATAAACAAAAATGTCAAAAATGAACCAAATGTGTTAAGAATTGCTTTCTAAAACATAACAATCTAAATCTAAAACACCCAAAGCACTTTTAAGCCTCAAAACACAAAGCCTCAGTGCGAGGGCTTTCTAGAAACCACTTCTGGCATTCCAAATTAAGTCCCATACAGAAAATTCTGAAGTTGTGTTTATTGAAAATTCTGAAAATCAACAAGAGTGTTCCAAAAGCTAGAATCAACAAGAAAATTCTGGCTACTGTGAATGGTTTTATCCAGAACAAGATTTCTCAGCCAAAGCAGCTCACCCCAAACTTAGAAGCCATTCCAAATAGGGCCTAAAAATGGCGTTTTTTAAAAGTGGGCCTTGTGGACTTATCCAAACACAACGTAAGCTTTCTGATCAGCTAGAGACTGCTTAGATGGATGACGAGGTCACGAGGGTACACCGCATACATTGGCCAGGAAAAAATGACACAGCTAATTCAGAGGACCCCCTATCCGACGAACGGTCTGGATGGGCCACATCATCTGTCCGTGTGGACCATTGATTTACAGGGCTGTCTACTCATCATCAATCCGAATAACCAGATGGTTTATGGCCCACATCCAATTTTTAATCTGGGCAACCTCAACGGTCCTGTGGGGTGGGGCCATACCATGTACGAGGACAGTTAAAAACTTTTTCTTCTCAAGTCTCAACAGCAACGACAAATCTCCATTGATCCGACAGTTAAGATCAAATGCTCAAAATGCAACGGCCAAAATCTCCTGGAGTCATGATCCAGAGTGGCATCCCTCCAAATTCCCAATTTGAATGAACAAGGTTTTGGGAAATTTGGCTCAACCCAATTGGCCAATTCCCTTAATTAGAAAACTTAATCCATGGCAAAAAAAAATTAATTATTTAATAGATCTACTTATATTAAATACTCTATGGCCTATGCTCTACCAAACCACATCGTTTGGGTCCCAAAAAATTCAATTGGGTCCCACTTAATAAATCTCAGACGATCAAGACCGTCCGGTCCATTTCATTCTTTTGAGTAGTCAAAAGAAATGTTGGTGAACAGTCCAAAGTTCTTGTTTAAAAAATCATAATCAATTTATTAAAAAAGCACAGGTCTCACAAACTATATAAATAAAATAAATAACGCTCAATTCAAAAACGCGTTAATTTTTGGCGTTTTTTGCTCTCACACTTTCGGCCCATTCAAACAGTGTATAAATAAAACCGCACCACTCCATAAACCTTCCGAACTTCACCACTATTTTCTCTCTTCTCTCTCTCTCTTGCTCGCTCGCTCGCTTGCTCTCATGGCTCTCTGCAACTTTTTCCTTCTCCTTCTCATCGTCTCTTCCCTCTCCCTCTCAGTCCAAGGAAACCGGAACTTCAACAAACTGAAACCCTCTTTAAAGTACTCTTTCTCGTTCCCTCTCACCTCTCACCGTCTTTCTCACCCCGACTCTCCTGCTACTCTCCTTCCCTCGCTCGTTTCGGCAACCAGACGGAAGCCTAATCCAAACCCTGGTTCTCTGAACAAGCCCTCTGCGTATAAATCTTCATTTAAGTATTCAGTGGCTCTGATCGTTTCTCTCCCAATCGGCACCCCGCCACAGAGCCAATCAATGGTGCTGGACACCGGAAGCCAGTTATCATGGATCCAGTGCCACAACAAAACCGTTGCAAAGCTTCCTCCAGCATCGTTTGATCCTTCACTCTCCTCCACGTTTTCCGTTCTCCCCTGCAACCACCCTCTCTGTAAGCCCAGGATTCCTGATTTCACTCTACCAACCGATTGCGACCAGAACCGTCTCTGCCACTACTCCTACTTCTACGCCGACGGCACCTTGGCTGAGGGCAATCTTGTCCGGGAAAAGATTACGTTTTCCAGGCTTCAGAGCACCCCTCCTCTGATCTTGGGCTGTGCCCGGGACACCGGCGCGGCGGAAGGCATTCTGGGGATGAATCTCGGCCGCCTGTCATTTTCTTCGCAAGCAAAGATTTCGAAGTTCTCCTATTGCGTGCCGCTTCGTCGGAAGCTCGCGAAGGTCCCACCAGTGGGAACATTTTATCTTGGTGAGAACCCGTACTCCGGCGGGTTCCGGTACGTTGACCTGTTGACCTTCGACCGAAGTCAGAGTCAGCAAATGCCAAATTTTGATGCTGCAGCGTATACGGTTGTGATGGAAGGGATACGAATTGGCGGGAAGAGGCTGAACATTTCGCGCGCAGTTTTCCGGCCGGATCCCAGCGGGGCCGGTCAGACGATGATCGATTCCGGCACCGAGTACACGTTCCTGATGGAGGATGCGTATGTTAAAGTGAGGGAGGAGATTGTTAGATTGGTGGGACCGTCCAAGGTGAAGCAAGGGTACGTGTACGGTGGAGCTTTGGATTTGTGTTTCAACGGAGATCCCGTGGCAATGGGACGGCCAATAGGCGACGTGGTACTGGAGATGGAGAAAGGGGTGGAGATTGTAGTTGAGAAAGAGAAGGTTTTCACAGACGTTGGCAGTGGGGTCCATTGTCTCAGCATCGGACGGTCGCAGTTGCTGGGGGTAGAGAGTAACATAATCGGGAACGTTCATCAGCAAAATCTATGGGTGGAATTTGATCTTGTTAACCGTAGAGTTGGATTCGGAAGGGCGGAGTGCAATATGTCAGCGTAGACATGCAGAAGCACCGGAACACTATTCTATTGTGAATACACTTGTCCATATGTTAACCGTCGTAGAGTGGACTCCGATACTGTACTGGGGGGCCCACCCCCACTACTCAGTGGGCCCCATGAAAAACCAACAGTGATGATCTAATTAGGTAAACTATGTACTATGTTAAACTTGTCATGGACACCCATGAGAGTTTACTTACCGTCCGATGTCACTGGTGGACCCGGGCCCACCACGTTGTTTCATGCGTGGACCTTGGCCCATGGGTGCTGCTGCTACGTGCATCATCTGCAAATTCCCGACATGAGTATCGTTCACATCCAACGCATAGCATAAATTCCCGTTTTCCCGACATGCACGCGAAGAGAAGTATATTCCCTACGTGGTTGTCTTTGTCTTGATTCATCTACTATATTAAATTTTGGCAATAAATAATTCATTTGTTTATTATTTATTATGATCTTGATTCTTCGATGTGATCAACGGTTCTGATGCCTGATACGTGTAAACCTCTCTCCGGCCTCTGGTGGGGCCCTTCATTGTAATAGTCGTGTGATGGTAGTAAAAGAACAAGTGAGGTGGTGGCGGATCTTCAGGTGGACTATTAACGCGTTTTGGATGGGGTGGGCCATTTGCCCAGACAGATGTTACATAGTTGATTGTATTTTTTGGGGGGACCCACTGACTGAGATTATCTGATGAAATGAATGAAGCTTTATTCAACAGTAATAGAAATACGAGATCTCGGTGATTTGGTTGAAACTTGGAAGGCACAGGTGCAATGATGGTCCATGCGGATAGCCGGTCACTTCACAAGATTCTTGCAGGAGAGCAGGAAAAGCTCTCACGTTGGCTTTGGTGGAGCTTTCACCGTCAACTGTCAAAGGCTGAGAAGCTGGGAGCCTGGGACTGAGGAAATAAGTACTTGGGGAAGTGAAAGGTAAAAGCGAGGGAGGGAGGGGTGGAGCTGGCTGGGGACTCGTGAGTAATAATAAGCGGCAGATGGTGAAGTGATTGGTAAGGCGAGAGCGAGAGGACAGCAAGATGAGCGTGGGCGTGGGCGTGAGAGTGCGTTCAGTAAATGCAGACGTGATCAGCAACACAAACCTAAAGAGGAGTCGTTGGGATAAAGCCGAAAGGATTCGTGGTCGATATAAAGGGCGAGAACAGCTGGCGGAAAAGAAAGAAGAGACGAGAGAGAGATAAAGGGATCACTTTCAATTCTCGAGAATCCATCCAATCTACAATTCTACATTGCATTTGCTAAGAATCTGGCTTTCCGTAAAGGAAGAGAGATGTCAGCACTTGAGCAGCGATCACCAAACGCTACTCTTCTAGTGGTTCTGTTCTGGCGAACTCTTTATTTCTATCTGAGGTCCCACCATCACTTAGTAGTAACGCCCACGCGTTTTATTTTTAAACAGGCCAGTTTGCTTCTGGATCATGACTCATGTGGATGGAGACGTGAAGATATCTTTGTTTTTCGATCCAGAGTCTATACGAAGATGATTAGATATTAGACAAAGCTAGAAGCTTTGGTAGGGGCTGCTGGTCTTCCTAACTTTAACCAGTCAAAGGGAAAGGAGTTCGATGTCTAAGAAGGGAAATGTATCAAGGTCACGGTCACACAATAAATTTGAGTACATACTGGGAGTTAGTGTAGGTCCTGTAGGATATGCTGAGTTTTGTTTTATTGCAGGATGCGACGACCCACTCTGCCCGGATTGTGAGGGTGGTAAAGCCGTAAAGGTAATGTGGGTTCAGTGCAGTGGACTTGCTCTTCATTGCTCCTTTAATTTGTCCTTGTCTTTCAATGGTGATAGCAACTAGTGAGCTTTGTTAGTCAAAAAACAAAAGCATCTAGGAAGCTTTTAAATGTCCAAACTTTTGTCATTACAACACAATTTTCCCTTGAATAATTCCGAAGATTAATTTAAGCCGGGGTGAACTTGAATGAAGCTTTTCTCAAGTTATTCTAATTTGATTTATAAGATTATTCTTATAGTCTATTTGATTCAAACAAGAATGGAAATGAAAATTGGAATCAACATGAATAAAATTTCATTTCTAAAGGTAGAGCAGGGAATGACCATTCCCTCAAATGGAAGAAAGTCATTTCAGTAGAAATGAGAATAGAATTCCGATTCCACCTAATTAAACAATTGAAATTAAAATTAATCCATTCCGATCATAGGGTCCATTTGGTTTGCAGGAATAGGGGTTTGGAATCGAAATCGGAAATAGTCCATTCCAATTCTAATTGTTTGGTTGGGTGAAATCGGAATTTCATTCCCATTCCTACTGGAATGGCATTCCCCTATTTCAGGTAACGGCCATTCCCTACCCTTCCCTTGAGAATGAAATCCCATTCCAACTGATTTTCATTCCTATTCTTGTCTGAACCAAACAGACTATGAGAATGAACCATTCCAATTCCGAAGGATTTCAACTCCAATTCGAATTCCAATTCTTATTACGAATTAAACGGGCCCCTATTCCTGCAAACCAAAAGGGGCCTAAATTTCTTTTAACACGGTACATGTGGTAACTTAGTAACTTTAGGTGCATTGGTGATTGAGACCCATGATTTGGCTTTATTTGTATGATCAAAACACACACACATGGAACTGCATCTTTCCGCCTAAGCAATTACTTGACGCCCATATGTCCCAACCACTATCTGGACCCATTATATTGAATTATGAAGGCTTTTGCTTATAAAAGAAAAGGACTTATAAGGGCACATTTGGATATCTACCTTTCTGGGATCTCTGTTTTGGTAATCCCGAAATAGATCTCACATTCTCTGTTCAATTTTTGCTGGATCATGTGAGCCTCACAGTTGATGCTTTATCTGTTTTCGCCACAGAGAGACACCCATGGATGCACTAGTGGAGTTAGGTAGAGAAAATATCTAATCTTGATGACCCAAAAAATAATTTTGAAAACCTGTAGCACAGATGGTTGCTTCAAAGCGAGCTGAGGGCTACAGGTGTTGGCTACCTTTTCTTCTCCTCATGCTGAGTTGTGGCCTAAAAGAGTTGCATCATGTCTCGTGGGAAGTACTCTTCTCTGGGCATTCTATATATCTGGCACTAGGAAAGAAAATCTAAGTAGAATTTGAACCATATGGTTGATCTGAACAGGAAAAAAGTAAAAGTAAATGGTTAATGCGTAAGTACTTGGTTTGTTTGTTGGAGGGTATAGATTGGAGCCTTAGAGGGCCACATTGTTCATTCAAGTGGCTAGAGAGGTCAACTGAAAAGGTTGGTTTCCGTTTCTCCTCCAAATAAGTTCTGAACTCTCACACTTGGATAAATAGATGAATAATTATCATTTTATTTGTGGACCCCAAGTTCATGGGTTCAACCACCCACAATATGGGCTCTAGAGATCTGAATCAATTAATAAGGATGAAAGACCACCAGATAAGCATTGCTGAAACAGCACATTCTCCACTCCCATAGGCTCAAACTTCGATAGAGTTCTGAAATCATTAACGGACACGTGGAGGAGAAAGATCAGCTTTGGCTTAAAGTTTAGTCCACAAGCCCGTGCGCGGAGGATCAATTCAACCGCAGGAATCGAGGCCCAATTGTCTCACATTTGAGATTTGACGTCATAGCCAACAAAGGATGAAATCTCATTGTTGACATTCTTTTAAACAATAAAGCACTCGCTCTGACTACACACCAATTAGGGTTTGTTCAAGAAACAGGTGCTGAAGGTGAAATGGTGATAAGATTTCAAAATGAGAAAGGTTTTATTGTCGGTATTTGATAATATTTTATGAATAGAATAATCACGCAATTCTTGTGTTTCATTAATCAGCAATAATATAAGGTTGTTTTATGTATCATTGTCATTTTTACTTAGAAATGCTTTAATTTGTTAGATACAAATTTTAGGAAAAAAGAAAAATATATTTTTTTAACTATAAATGTTTTAAGTTATCAATACAACATTTGTATCATTTTTATTTCTTCAAAAAATGTTAAATTTAGTGTTTCTCAAGTTTTTTAAAACCGAAGGATATATAACCGTTCTGGGTCTGGTTCCTAAGTTGAATGGTTTGATCGTCTAGTCTAAACAAACAGCCCACTCTAATTTAGAAATTTGAAAAAACAAAAAATGGCAAAAAAAATATATTGTTCAGGTCAATGGTTCACTAACCAAATCAATGATTTTTTACCAAAAAGCAGTTTTGGGGTAAAACATAACCGATTAGGTGATTGGTTCTCAGTTTTTCTAGTCCAATCATCCGATCTAGTCTGATTTTGAAAACACTAATGTTTCTAATATGAATGCCAACACCCAATCCAATGCTTATTTTTTTAGTGGAAATGATTTTGTATGTGTTTGGTTCCATGGACATTTATGGGTAAGCCGTTTATTTGTACTTGTTCACTTTCAGGGTGTTTGGTTCTGTTTACGTTTATTCAGTAAACGTTGATTGGTGGTGCCACATAGGTGCCATATCAGCATTTTCTCTCTCTTGTTCTTCTGCATACATCGAAAATATAAAAAGTGAACTTTGGTTTATGTGCATACCAGTCGTTTGTAGAAATTATTTTTTGAAACTTCCACAAACGGTCAGGCGTTTATTCATTGTTACACTGAATTGGCGCCCATTTATCATAAACGGTTGCAATTATTGCATTTCTCGGTTTTACCAGCAAATAAAGTACAAATGTTTATTCAATAAACATAAACGGAACCAAACACACACTTTAAACATTTATTTATACATTTTCACTTTAAATGTTTCATGTTTTTGTTGTTTGGTTGAGTTTCACTTTAAACATTTTTTACTCTCCACCTCATATTAATACCCATTAAAGTGTGTTACATCAACATTTGGTTTCAAAAAAAGTTGGGGTATTGGGAGAAAAAAGAATCTGATGTATCATCAAATGCCTCATGCACAAAAATCAAAGCGTTTTATTTTTCTACCATTTATTTAATAAACAGTGAAACCAAACAATTCATTTTGCTTCATATGCAATAAACATTAATACCTATGTGGTGCTGATGTAGCGGCTTTTTTTTCAATAAACGTTCACAAAACCAAACAACCTTTATGATGAGATGTAACAATACAGCTAAAACGTTGAAATGATAAATGGCTTTTTTAAATCTAAAAAATTTCAGCGTTCTGTTTTGAGTTCTTACTTCAAGAATTACCAAATCCCCAACTGAGTATTCAAGGAATTTTGAGGATTGAAGATACACTACTTCCAAATCAGCCCCCCACAACGTCTTACAGCACATCCTCATCATGTATTAGGAATATCTCTCGATAATAATCCCAGAAATAATGATATCATCATTGAGAGATGCTCCTAATACATGGCGAAGATGTACTGTAGGACATTGTGGGGGGCAATCTCATGGGGGCGGATTTGAACTCGATTTACAGCAGCACATCTCAATCATGGATTGATTGTCATCTCAAAC